ACACTAACCTCGCTGATCACTCAATCAATTTCAACTTCCATTCCTTTTCGCATGTGCTAGGGAGGACCGCAAGCTTCGGTTCTCTTTTTCGTCTTCGCGTCTTCGTCTCTTCGGCTCTCTGCCCATTCGCTCTCCCGGTCCTCGTATCGGCTTGTGTTACATAGTATCACTTGTCGTGTCAAGCTTAGGTTCAAGTCAAGAAAAGTTTTACTCGTGGCCACATCGTGGGAAGCGAGTATGACCTGCGGTTTTTGGAGCCAGCCACACATTGGGCAGCTCTTAGCTGCGAACGTGCTGATCATCTGGTACGCTCTTTGTGAGTCGTAAGACACTACGCTCTTATCAGGCCGGTGGAAATACCACGTAGGGACTTTGTCTCCACCAGGATAGGAAGTGTCCTGCGCTCCTTAGTTGGGTTGAATTGCCACTAGATGACTGTTTAGTGCCAAGGTGCCGTCACTGTGTCTGCTCACGCGGAACGGTGGTGAAGCAAGTACCATCCTTGGCTACCGCGTGGCTTTCCTTTGCCTTATCGACTACCCACCCGTTTGGTCTATGACCAGTTTCAAAAAGGGTCCCAGTCAAAGCAGTAAGAAACAGATCAAGCGGAACGTCAACGTCTCATCGACGTCAACGACAATGCCGGCTCCTCAGCCAATTGCTGATATTGGCAAAGATCTTATTTGGGGACTTGGTGACCCCGCAAAGTTCGATAAGTTGCAAGTCGACCTCTTGAATCAAGTCAAAACGTCTAAGCCAATTCTTGCCAGTTTTCGCAAAGAAACGTGGACGATTCAAGTAGACGAGGTCGAAAGCAACGTTAACGGCGTTTTGAACAAGGCGTACCTCAACCTACTGAATTGCGTAGACAACATTGGTGTACAGCTTAATCGCCTTATTCGCGTAAAGCCGAACCGTCAATAAGCCATAACACACTTTTTGACCTTCTAACTACCTTTTCCGTTTATTTTTTCTATTTTACGGGTCACGCACCGAAACGTCTGCTAATCCTACCCCTTATGTCTGTGACAAGGTGTAAGAAAAGTGAGGGTGAATCGGTCGTGCCAAGTGCAGCAGGACGAGCAAACAGACACGGCTACGTATCCGGAAGCTCACAGCGACGTACCAACGGATGAAATGCTAACCCCGCACCTGAATCGATGTCGATGCAACGGTTGATGTTATGGATTACTCAACAGCAACGAATGCATCAAAATCGGATGCAAACCCAATTTCAGATGTAAATATAACAAGCGAAAAGTCGGTTTGAGCATCTTCTGGCTACACAAGGCGATAGACGTAAAAAGGATCCTCCAACATATGAAGGGAAATTTGGTAAAGACTTAGAACTGTGGAGTTTTGCTACAGAAGAATACTACGCCAACAAACGAGAGTTAATGGAAGCCGATACGTCCGATTTTGTGACCATGATCTTTAGTAGTTTATGCAAGCATGTACTTTACTGGTATTGAGCTTTCTCGTCTTATTGTGAAGCTGCAACAACGCCTAAGACCTGGGAATGGTTCAAGTTAAAACTGCGGGAACGTTCCCGACCAAAGGACGTCGAGTACAACCTACGTGGGCGTCCGTTTCAGTTGAAGCAACAAGGACTATCCATGAGTATGTAACTTCGCTCCAGGACTTGATATCTCAATCTGCACTAGAGATTTCTGAAATGAAGAAGCGGTTTACTTCCAGAATGGACTTTGTGCTGAAACAGCTAAGAAGGTGAAAGAATTGAGTCCAAGGTTCTTGCATGAAGTCATTGAAATTGCCCCGAACTTTGAGTTCGCTCACTATGAGGGGCAGTCTGCAAAGGTCAATACGGGTCCAGCCACTCTACAAGCTCTAAACCACCCCTCGGGAATCCGAAAAAGTCGATGGGTCGGAAAAATACTTCTAAAGGTGGTTCGAGAGATGAGCGGACTAAGACTGTTACTTGTCATAATTGTGGGCAGCTGGGTCATATCAAGCCGCAATGTAAAGCTACCAAGGAAATCAATCATTATGTGAGGGGTCGATCTACGCAATTCTCGAATTAAGTGCGTGGGCTTCGAAGCAGTCGGAACCGCCGAGTGCAGTGTCTATTTTTGTAGACAATGGTAGCAGTCTAAACGGAGTCACTGAAGAATTAGCGAATCAACTTCAACTGGACATTATTGAACATCCAGACGACTTAATGACGGTTATGTTGGGATACAACCAGACCGTACAACGTCCAAGGCGAACAGTCAAGATGAAACTCCAAATCCCTGATTTCTCGGAAACGTGTGAGACTTTCACGGGCATGCCTGTCGCAGAAGGAAAAGACGTTATGCTGAGAATGGAGTGGTTGCGAGAGAACAATCCTGAAATTGATTGGGAACGTTGGTTGTTGCGTCCTCGAACCACTACCAGGGAACCACCTTTGCAGTTGGTTCTTCCTAAGCGTCACCCCGCTCGTATGATAGGGGGTCGTCATTTCAAGAATGCTCGTCAAGACCGTGAAATAATGCATTGCTATAGACAGCATGGACACTTGGGAGCATTTGGCGAGACTAAAATCATTTCGTCAAAGCTGTTTCTCAAAGATCTACGCAAGGGCAAGGACGTCAAAGCTGTGTTTGCTGTTAAAGCACACGACTCTGAAAAGGTCGAACGGTTTAAGCAACAAGGATGGGACGGGTTAGTGGACAATCCAGCGTATGACGTCCTGGTCAGGTACCGCGATACGGTGTTTTGCACTGAACTGCCTAGCTCGACCCCTCCCGTTCGTGAGGGCATCGAACATGAAATTCAGCTCCACCCTGGAACACAACCTATTTCGGTAAAACAATGGCGCCAAAGCCCTGAACAACACAAGGTGATTCAAGACTGGACAAAAGAGATGGTTCAGACTGGAATAATTCGTCCCAGCACATCAGCATTTTGTGCGCCTACGTTTTGCGTTAAGAAACCGGTTGGGTGGCGCATTGTCCATGATTATCGCCAACTTAACAGTGCAACTGTTTTGCCTGCTATTCCAATGCTCAGGAAGGAAGACACGTTTGATGCGATGGGCGGTAGTTATTGTTTCTCCTGCATGGATCTATTGTGGAATACTATCAAGTCAAACTACGTGAATCAGTTATTTCATTTACCGCGTTTTCGACCCCTTACGGTCTCTTTGAGTATCTTGTCACACCAATGGATGTTAGTGGTAACCATGGCACGTTTAACCGTTTGCTACAGCCTGTTTTCAGTGACTTGCGTGATGTCCTGCGCATATACTTTGATGGCATTTCCAAGATCAAGATATCCAGAAGCACATAGAAGATCTGGATCGAGTGCTTATGCGCTGCCAAGAACAACAATTGTATGAGAAGCTGTCAAAGTGCCAATTTTGTGGTGAAAGAAACCCTTGCCTTGGTGATTTCGTTGGCCGTAACGGTGTGCGTATGGATCCAGACAAAGTACGTGTTATCAAGGAATGGCCCGTGTCAGGGACCAAGAAACAGATGGAAAGTTTTTTTGGGTACGACAGTGTATGTCTCAAGATTTTGCGCTGATTTTGCACAGTTTGCAGGTCCGTTACATGAGAGTATGGTCGAATCTTAAAGCGGCACCATTCGCGCCCAGGTATTAAAAAACATATGGTGACAGGTATCGGGCAGGTATCAACCCAGGTATTGTCCGGGTATGAGAACTGAAATAAATTATCGAAATTTTCGTTTTTTTCTTACCGCGGTTCAGCCACTCATTCCACAAAGCATCGGGGGGGAGACACGTGGCAAGCATGCCGCGCACCCACAAGACGGCTCATATCAAGCAACAAATGGCGGAACAAGCAAGAGAGGAGGAAGAAGCAAAGGAAGCAGAGGAAGCGCGCAGGGAGCGGATCAGGGCGGCCCGGACGAGGTCTCAGAAGTCTGCCGCGATGGCGAAGGCTGCCGAAGAATGGAATGCACGTTGGCCCCATGTGTTGAAGTCCAACAGGACCAGTAACGCCAGTGAAGAAGAAACGGATGGGGATGACGTTGAGGAAGCTGACGCGGAGGAGTCCCGCGACGAAGGTGCTGCGGGGGAGGAGCAAGACGACGTGGATACTGGGGAGGAGCAGCGTAATCATGGAGCGCGTGTCAACAGGAAACGTACGGCGTCTGACCTGGAAGAAGAGGCATTGGTGACTGTTCCTCCCTTTACAGCAGGGCAACGTAGCTGGGAAGATTTCGAGGTTGCTCTAAAAGACTACATGAAGCGAACAAGCCAAGTTCTCGTTGTGGTGGAGAATATCAACGTTCAACGGCGCAATAAAACGTTGCGTGCGCAAAAGCAATATGAAGGCAAGCCTGACGACGAGATTCCTTTAGTCCCAGCGGTGCGGAAGCTGTACCAGCGCAAGTACATATGCACTCACGGGTGGGGTGAACGGGAGCGATCCAAGACAGGGAAACGCAAGTTTCACAAGCTGCGGCGTGCTGGATGCCCGTTTCAATTCCTTGCGCAACTAGCGCAGGAAAGCGTCGGTGAATGGGATATTCAGCTGCGTCGAGAGGAGTATCGGCACCACCACAACGTGGCACTAATATCTACAGGCATTACCCAGGTATTCGGAAGATGCTTCGATCGATCTTTAGCTTGATCGCTGGAGACGCGTAGGTGCATTGATTAGTGTAGTGGAGAATCACTTCTAATACATGGACAATTCCTGCTAAATACCTGTCCCAATACCTGGAAAGAAAACTCTGATCTGATTGGAGGAAAAGACGCGAAAGCTCTTCAATTCGATGCCGACAAGCCTCCCTTCTCTTTGGCTTTCGTCGATGTAGCGCACATATGAATATCCCAGGTATACAACCTGGAAAAACCTGTTTCCGTAATATAAAAATAAATTACCGTATGTTTATGTATTTTTTGATACCTGGACGATCCCTCATAACAAACCTGGAGAATACCTATTGCGTGTTAAACCTACACCTCCAAAATACCTGGCCAGAAGAGGCGTCCATCTTAAAACAATTTTGAGAGGTGACACCACCACGATGACTTATAAGGTAGCTCGAGAAGCGTGGAGATGGGCTGACCACTTCGTACTATCAAGCGACAATGCCCTGTACTACACAGGAATGGGCAGAGGAAGGTTGATGAAAACACGCCTGAGATGTCGTTGAGACTTGTGGTGCCAACTACGAGGATCCAAGTGGTGCAACACAACTGTCATGGCTCCATTGAAAGAGGACACCAAAGTGTCGTCCGCGCTAACCAGAGAGTAAAACACGACTGCTATTGGATCGATTTCTACGCGGATATGGAGACACACGTGAAACCATACCTGGACTCCAGCTCAAGCAATACCCTGACGCAGCTCAAAGGCTACTCCCCTGGCAATGTGCTCGCAGAGTGACCATTCCAGGTGGTGTCGATGGAAGTTTTGTCCCTCTGCCGAGATCTCTTTGTGAGAACACCACTCTGTTATTATGGCAGTACTCGTTTACTGGGTTTGTAATCACTAAAGCGATGTCTGGCACCGATGCACTGACTGTGACCAAGGTGTTCGAAGAATGCACCTACAGACGATTTGGTGCTCCATCTATTATTCGTCACCACCGTGAACGCGCTTCATGAGCGAGGTCTTCCAAGCCTTCGCTGAACGGATACAAGCGCGGTCAAGGTCAACTGTGACGAAGTGGGTGAACACTTGACCGCCCAAAGGTGTATAGCGTGCCCTGAACGGATTCGAACACGAAGTCGTTCAGGTAGTACAAGACTCGGGCTGAAAACTAGTTCCAGTCCGGGTTGGCGTGTGCCTTGCGTCAATCCCTATAGGTTCGATTATTTCGAAAACCAGGGATAACACCGTGGTAGTGACTGCCAAATAGGATATACAGGTATATAAGAGAACTTCCAGGACCTCTTCATCCTAGTTGTCCTGAGTGTTAGTCGAGAGATCCCGGGTAAAGACCTTCCTCCAAAAGGTAACCTAAAACAATACAAATGACCTAGATGATATAC